AAAACAAGTTAGGAAATGACTGGGAGTAACGAGATCCTAGCATTAGCTATAAGTGGTTGAATTCACGAATGCTTTTCTATTCTTCTCCACTTTCTTCAAACACTTACAGGCATTGCTGTTGCTTGTTGAGAGTTATGCTCGTCGCCGCTTGGCCATGACGGTACCACGGGATCATTGTGTGGGACACTGAACACAGAAAATAAATGATTTAAAATTTTTGAACTATTCAGCGATTCACGGAAAGTCTGCAGGTGCACCACGTTGTCGACGACGACGTTCACGATCCACTTGAATGCGCTTGTACGTGAATCCAATTACTATCATAATCGAAGCCAACGCCATCAGAATTCCGAACACGCACACGAGCACAACGGAAAAGTCTTTAGCAATAGCAGAAAAAGATTGTACTAACAAACTATACAATAATCTTGTACCGCGATGTTCTGGTCTCACTGAGATCAGCGCTGGTCCTTTGGAAGCCGGGTCTATTCGAGATTCCGGAGCAAGAAGAAGGTTTTTATCAACGGCTGGTGGCGCTGCCGTGAGATTGGCACTGAAGATATAGGACGGGCTTCAAAGGAACATCAAGTGAATCTAATTGAATTAAAAATTGTTGTGCTAGTATTTGGTATTCTTTTCAAGCTTGCGAAGGCAGATTACATAGTGCAAGTTAGGCTAGATTTTCAAATCCATAAAAGTTATCCGCTAGTATGTGGTGTTTCATACAGTTGCAGCAGCAGCAATTCGGCTTGGCTGAGGAATAGAATGTTATGAGGGAATTCGAACCAGTGAATAAAAGGCACTCTGACAAAGTTGACAGGGTATAAGGTATCCTTCCTGCGTTGCTGCACTGCCTAGGACAGTAGTGGCCATGATAAGCGCACGTGTGAGAACACCATATTTCGCTTAATTACAGCAAGTTCTCCCAGCTAGCGTGTACATTCAGCGATAAATCAACATCGAACCGAGGATGAGCGCTTTTACCAGTTGGAGCGTTGGCTACATGTGTAACTGCCCTAACTTCCGCTTTTTTCTTTGGTACGTATAGGTACTATAATATCTTTGGCGTCGGCGTTAAATTTTGCG